GGGCAACAGGAAAACAGGGAGTTTACCTACATTGAACTCTTTTGTAGAGACTCTTTTGCCGATAGTCCTAAAATCAGCCATGGTGAGGGTTTCTGGAGAAGCTTAGTTAAGACTTTCGGTGGGGGAGGGGGTGCCCTACATCTGTAAATTAAATAGACAGAAACAGTTTCTACAGGCCCTCGCGGTGGCAGAGAGTTCATGTTGCTCAGGGTAACAGAAGAAACTTGGAGGCATCCTTTCCTTCCAGTTTCAAGGCTGAGTCCTCAAGACCTGAAATTGCCAGGAATGTGACTTCCATGTAAGGGCAGAGGGAGGAAACGTCAGGGAGAACCGCGTCCCTTTCCTCGCCCTTTCTCCTTAACCAGTCTCTAACACTGTGACTGGCAGGAGTTTCTTGTAGACAGCGCCTAGTCGAGTCATGGTTTGTTCTTTTTTCTGTTATCTTTTAGCTCATGCTCACCATCTCTGTCTTCTAATTGGTGTGTTGAGACCAAAAGTAGGCTAACTAGGGTCCATGGACTGAATCCAGCCCACTGCCTAGTTTTGAAACAAAATAATATGTAATAGAGATTGTATTTAGCCCACAAAACAAAAATGGTTAGCATAGAAACTTTAAAGGAAAAAAAAAAAACCCCTATTGACCTCCAGTTTAGACCATTTACATTTAATGCGATTTTCAATATGTTTGGATTTAGGCCTCTATGCTATTTTGTTCTTCAGTTTGTCCTTTCCTATTTCCTTTTGGGTTATTTGAACATCTAATAACCTAATCTCTTTATTAGCACTAGAGATTGGACCCCATGGGGGTTTAACCACTGAGCCACATCCCCAGCCCTATTTTGGATTTTATTTAGAGACAGGATCTCACTGAGTTGCTTAGCACCTTACTATTGCTGAGGCTGGCTTTGAACTTGCGATCCTCCTGCCTCAGCCTCCCAAACAGCTGGGATTACAGGCAAGCGCCACCAGGACCGGCTTCAGCTTAATTTTTGAAGGATATTTATACTGGGTATAGAATTCTTCTTTTATATAATCAAAATAATTTTTTATTTGTAGATGGACACATATCTTTATTTTATTTATTTTTTATGTGGTGCTGAGGATTGGACCCAGTGCCTCACGTATACAAGGAAAGCACTCTTCCACTGAACTATAGCCCCAGCCCCTGGGTATAGAACTCTAAGTTGAGAACATAGGTTTGGGGACACCAGAGGTTGGGAAAAAGGATAAAACCAACATTGGATTGATGGTACTTTAAATTGGTGTCTTCTCCTCTGATCTGCCTGCTATTATTTACTTTTCAGAGTCCTTAAATAATGACTCTGTGCATTCTGTCCAGCTTTTACAACTGGTTTCAGCTGGAGAGACAGGATGGAATGTACTTACTCTGGGTTACCCAGAACCAAAACCCTCTCTTCATCCTTTAGTACTTTTCAGTTAGGAAGAGTAATAATTTGATTGCCAGAAACTCACTTCTTCTGGTCAATCTTTACAAATAATGGGCTCCCTATGCTAAAGGAATGCACTAAACCCCATTGTTCCTGACCTGCTTGCCCAAGGGACAATGAGCCCTGACCTTTTGGTCATTATCGGGTAAACCCCTAGGGCAGGTCCAGAATGTCTTCCAGGTATAGCTCTAGCCATAGTCCCATGTCTTTTTCTTTTTTTTTTTTTTTTTTTTTTTGAGGTGGGAGTACCAGGAATTGAACTCAGGGGCACTCCACCACTGAGCCCCAGCCCCATCCTATTTTGTATTTTATTTAGAGACAGAACTTCACTAAGTTACTTAGTACTTCACTTTTGTTGAGGCTGGCTTTGAACTCGCAATCCTCCTGTCTCAGCCTCCCCAGCTGCTGGGATTATAAGCATGCGCCACTGCACCCAGCTTCCCCTGTCCTTTTCCCTGACAACACCCAGAGAATGTGAGGTTCACCTACAGTTTTCACAGATCCGGGGGGAAGTCAGGGTTTGCTTTGTGGAGCAACTGTGCATGGAAAAACCCAACTTCTAGCTGAGAGGAGAAAATAGAAGGACCCCATTCTGACCCCAGCTTCAAAACTATCCTCCAATCCAACTTTGTCAAAAAGTCTTCAACCCTGGGGGTTTGGCTCCTACCTGATCCATTAATTAGTTGGTATTTCTTTTCCATTAGCCTTTAGAGCCCTAGGTAAAGTGCCTCCGTCCAGTAGACTCCTGTGTCACAGAGGATAAGAGACAAAACTCTAAATCAGATAATTTAATTATTATTAATTATAAATGCAAATGCCAATTTCAGGATAAGCTAGAACCAGGAACTGAAACAGGACTGTGTATTTCTCAGTTCTGCTCTTCTTCACAATGGCTTCAGTCTTAGACTATGTGATAGCCCCAGGAGCTCAAGACTCACGTCATTTAAGGCTTTTTTTAAATTTTTTTTAGTTATAGTTGGACACAATACCTTTATTTTATTTATTTATTTTTACATGGTGCTGAGGATCGAACCCAGCAGCTTGCTCTTGGTAGGCGAGCGCTCTACTGCTGAGCCACAACCCCAGCCCCCATTTGAGGCTTTTAAAAGAAGAACATTCATGCCACAGTTATTTAACTCTCTCTCTCATGTTGGACATTAGTTTGTTCACTTTTTCACAATCATAAAATATATTATGAATACCTCTGTGCACACATTAGGTTGATCTATATTAAATTGCCAATGCTCAACATTTTGACTTCTAAAACTGAGTTCCTAGGGCCTAACCTCGTTGGTTTTTAGTATTCTGGATTATTCCCTGGTTAAATTTTCAGAGTTAGTTGTCTGGAGCAAAATTTAATTACTTTCCCTACCAGTTCTACAAATACATATTCTTATATAAACAAACTTTGGGTCTTACTTATTATTTATTCAGTCTTCATACTTTGATAGATACTTGCCTATATTCCCCATCTTCACTCTGTCTTCCCAGCCCTTTATAGTGTCATGGGGCCATTGCTCAGAAAACACTCTTAAGTTCAAATTAAAAGTCAATTCAAGGATTTTTATTATCTGGCCAGAGACTGTCCCTCACTGAGTCCAAGTGACTGTATGGAGAATAGCCCTAAGCTGTTTGTGGCCAGAGTATTTAAGGAAGAAAACCAGAGCATATGGATCTGCAAGTTGCAAGCAAGCCAAATACAGGAGCTGAGAAAGCAGTTAGCAGAGCAAAAATAGACAACCATATCCTGGGTTCCAGCACATTTGTGGGCACAGATCCTGGGTTCAGGTACATTGTATGAAATACAAAAAAACAATTTTCTTAATATTATCAAAACAGCCTACTTGGGCTGGGGTTGTGGCTCAGCGGTAGAGTGCTTGCCTAGCACTAGTGAGGCCCTGGGGTGGATCCTCAGCACCACATAAAAATAAATTAATAAAAAAAAATAGGTATAGTGTCCAACTATAACAAAAAAATAAAATATTAAAAAATTTTTTAGGGCTGGGGATGTGGCTCAAGTGGTACTGTGCTAAACTATCATGCGTGAGGCACTGGGTTCGATTCTCAGCACCACATTAAAAAAAAACAAAATAAAGATATTGTGTCTGGGCTGGGGCTGTAGCTCATTGGTAGAACGCTCCACTCCCATGTGTGAGGCACTGGGTTTGATCCTCAGCACCACATAAAAATAAATAAAGATATTATGTCCAACTACAACTAAAAAAAAAAAATATTGTGTCCACCTAAAACTAAAAAATAAATATTAAAAAAAATTTTTTTAAATAGCTTACACAACAAGTTCACAGAGGGGTTACAAAGATGGAGTCATTATGGCTATATCAATCTATATTTGTCTATGGCTATGCTGATTTAAACTTATTTATCTCTATGTTAACCTATTAGCCTATATTATCTATAACTATACTGGCCTACTGATTTACACTTGTCATCTTACATCGTTTTATATCTTATTTCCTGAAGCTTATATCCTATGTCTTACAGTTACATAATTATCCTGCGATTGCTTATGCTTAATCCTGGTGAATTATTATCATTTTTTAAAAATATATTTATTTTGTTTATTTATTTTCATGTGGTGCTGAAGATTGAACCCACATGGGCGAGGCAGGCGCTCCGCCTCTTGAGCCACAACCCCAACCCCAATCCTGGTGAATTATGTTCTAGGCTTACTTCTACTTATTACTAGGGCAGTTTAACATTACTTATCTCATAGTACTCATTCCTATTATCCTATTGTATTTTATCTTACTTATTCTGCTTATCAATATCTTATACCTATAATCTGTATTGATCAGACTTAGACCATAACAGTACTCTGTCGTGGCTCATAATACATTCTTCTACATCGTGTCTGTATGTGTATGTGTTTTTATGTACTTAATAAAAAAAGGAACTAATTATGATTCCGGAAGGACTAGAACAATCGCTTTCGGTTTTGTATCTCCTTGGTCTGGTGCCTCGTGCCTTTCACTCATTCATTCAAGAAACATCTTCTGGATTTACACCAGAGAACAGTAACTGTGAAAGGTGCAATAGGAATTTTAAAAGTTCACTGCACCGAGCACTGCCTGTTTCAAATATTCTTTTATTACACCAGTAGGTCTCATTTAACATTCATGCCCGCGTTTTAAATTCCACCTTGCGACCTTCCCACGTCGACGGCACTCTGATCCGGGAACAAAAGCTCTGAAACGTTAGCCTTTAAGAGTATTGACTGTGTAAGCGCCGTTCCCGTGGCCCAGTTAATAATCCCTTAAAATGCACCCCAGAGTCACATTTGGGGGGACTTAGGACCAGCCAGTTAATCAGTAAAACACAGGGCAGTCTGGCGGTCAGGGACTTTTCACCGGGCTGAGGAGGGCGGCGGGATCATTAAATGCAGGATCAGGAACATGCAAATCCTGGCAGCAACAGGGTCCAGCCGGCTCTGCACCGCCCTCGCGGAAGCCCAGTGGGGGCGGGGCTTCGTCTCGCTCCGCCCCCGACGGGCGGGCCCCGCGCTGCCGCCTACGCTCGCTCCCGCCTTCGGACTGGAGTCCGGGTCCGCGCGGGAGCGCCATGAGCGCGCGCCCGGGCCAGTGACCCTGTCGGGGATGGACTGCGGCTCGGTCGCGGGCGAGAGACCGAAGCACTCGCTGAGCCGCCGGCGGCTCCTGCTCTTCCTGCCCTCGGGCCGCGGCGGAAGCCTGGGCGGCCGCGGAACCCCCACGCGCCGCTGCGTTTCCCCGCTGCCCTGCGGGCTGGGGTCGCTGCGGCCCCGCGCCGCGGGGGCCCGCGGGGGCGCGTCACGTGCGGCCCCGCTGCTCCTCCTCCTTCTCGTGCCCTCCCCGCGGCTGGTCGCCGCCGCCCCGCGCAGGCCCCTGGCCGACTGGGGGCGCTCGCGTCCTGGCCCCGTCGTCCCCGCGGCCGGGCGCGGCGGCGCGTGGAGGTGCGCGCTGGGCCGCGCGGGCGCGGGCGGCGCCCTCCACCTGGGCCGCGGCGTGGCGGCCGCGCTGGCTTCCTGCAGGAGAGGTGAGTGCCGGGCCGGGCTGTGCCCTGGGGGAAGGCCCGGCGGCGCGCAGGGTGGGTCAGCCGAGGTCCCGGCCGCCTCGCGCTCGCGGGCGAAGGTCTGGCCCGCCCTCGAGGACGCAGTCAGCGAGCTGGGCTCAGCGCCCGGGAGTCCTGGGCAGCGGGCGCCTGCCCGGACGAACGGCGGCCCCGGGAGCGCGCTGCGCGTCCACCGGGAGGGTCCCGCGCCCGGCGCCTCGGATGGGCTGCGGCTCCCAGCTCGCACCTGGAGGCGCGGGGGGCGGGGCGGGGGGGGGAGCTGGGCCGAGTGCAGGGCTCGTGCTCGTGTGGGGGCGAAGCTCGGGGAGGGCGCGGGGTTTGACAGCTCGAAGCTTCATTCACGGAGCTCTTGCGCCTGGGGATTTAGCAATCAAAAATCTTTCCCCTCTGGAGCTTCATTCCAGCAGTGGAGATGCCGTAAACGTGTGTGTACCTAACCCTAACCCTAGACTTTTTGCATATACCTGGATTTTAATTTGATAAGTGCTACAGGAAAATAGTAGCGGGGAAAGAGTTGGGAAGTGGGGTGGGTCTCCAGTTTTGAATTTAAGCAGTGATCAATCGCAGTCGGCTTCATTGAGGAGATAGCATTTCATTAAGGAGGTGAAGGAGGAGATCCTACGTGAGAATAGGAAAGTTAAACAGGCTGGAATTTGCTGAAAACAAATTGCTGATAAAAATATAGAGAGAGTATTCAACAAACTTGGTACACATATCACTTGGGATAATCTATACATTACCTATTAATGGCCATCAAGAACTGCACCTTTTTTCATATTTTTTTCAATAGCAATGTCCGATAAACATTGGCTGCATCTCAGATTTAAGAATAGCATTGGCTGGGGGAGAAGCAGATTATTAGAGCAACAAAGCAAGGGAGTTTGTGCGCAAAGGGTGGGAAGGAGTACTGAACTCTTAGCGTCCTGCAGTGATTAGGAGCAGTATGGGTAGGTTTGGTCTTTATTTCTGTATTTGTCTTTTGGTTGCTCTTATTTTGATAAACGGGTAACTTCCGATCTGGTCTCCTCTCATAATTTGAGACTGTGGGCAAGAGAGTTTCTTTGTCCTAGGCTTGCTAACATTGTGCCAGCAAAGTGGTACTGTTGTTATGGTGTCAAAGCTGTCATTCGTCAAGAGTCTTAAAAATAAGGGTAAATGCATCAAAGCAAGGAAACAGAACAGAGACAGGGTTAAGGAAGCATGTTTGCCCACTAGCCATCTGTTAATGAGCAGTTTGGGGTTTTTTGGGTTTTTTTTTTCCTGTCCAGTGATTGGCTTGCCAGCCACTTCCCCCAACCTCTTAGCAGGTCCACTTAAAGACACGTTGAGTAGGAAATTCATACCTGGCTAACCTTGGGCTTCTTTTGTAATTGTGGGTTTTTAATAACCTTTTGATATGCTAAACATCTCCTGAAAGGAGAATTACCTATTAACACTTTTAACGCAGCTGATTCACTTGCTCCTTGGTTATCTGTGGGCTTTCAGAGCACTGTGTCCTCAGGTGCTGACCTTTGACAGAAAGCAAGATGGCATTCCCTTCTCTCAGCAGGGCCAAGTGCCAGTGGAGAGGTGGCCAGCCCTTTTCTCCACTTTTCAAAAGGCAATGTTTCTTTCAAAAAAGCTTGCTGTGTCTGGTTCCAGTCATTTTTGGAAAAGAAAAAAACATAAAGGTCTGCAATGTCCATATCAGCTTTAGCTTCTGCTTAGAAAATAGTGGCATGGTTATTTGCTTTATGGGTGTGGGTGTGGTAGGAGGTTATGTTTTAAATTGCATGAATTATTTTGTTATTAGAGACAAGGAATTTGGGACCAGAATAACCCTGTCACTCTTCACAAGCCATTCTAGAAGTCCTGTGTTCAAGATCCCTGACCCATGGGACAGCCCAACAGAGTTTAAGGTGGGTGAGGTGGCCTTAGAGGGCCCCTTGAGAAGTGTTTCGTCCATTCATTTACTTGCCACTGTCCCTGGAGGGCAGATCTTGGTCTCTTATCAGGGCCAATTCCAATCTCAGGACTGATGGAGATATATGATGAGAAAAGAGGTACCAAATTTAAGTGTGCTTATTTATGAAAAGGGAAGAAATGAGGTGAAGAGGAGAAAGGAGTCAATCCCAGAGTTTCTAAACAGTCTCATAATCTAGTTCTTAGAAGCCATTACAGTTCAGTTACAAAAAGTTAAATATCTCCCTCCGTTTGCAGTTTGCCAGGCCCTCCTCAGGGCGTCTGCTAGATGCATAAGATAAAAAATGAGTCAGACTGGGTATTCTTGGGCAGCTTGACTCATAGATGGTGCACTGTGGCAGGAAACTCGGTGCTGTCCCAGAGCCACGTGTACAGGCTGAGAACACCAGGAGCAGTAAGGCTGCTCCCCTATCTGGGTGGAGGAAGCAGAGAGAATCATAAAGTGAAACGTAATGCAGGCCTGGAACATAACGTATGCTTAATAAACTGCCCAGTTAAAAGAGAAGCGTGTGAAAGGATGCTAACAGTGTAACAGGTAGGAGAGGAAAGCACGCCAAACTTAAGGCATGGAGCAGCGTAGGTGCCAAGCTGAAAGGATAGCATGGCTGTAATGGGAAGAAGGGCTCGCGCTCCTGGGCAAGCGCCTTGTGCTCAGAACAGCTCCACTTTGAATGAAAGGGTCGGTTTTTTTTTTTACCATCAACACAGGCACCAGTGCCTTTTGTATTCTGTCTCAGCAAGCAGTGCTGATACAAACATCATTACATCTCACGCTCATTTCGGAGCCGACCATGACCATTGCTGCTCTCCTCCCAAACTGCCAATGGTTTGCTAACAATTGCTGTAGGCGGCAGAGAAGTGTCAGATCTGTGGGGTCTTGTCCATGTCACATTTTACCTCCTGTGGTTGTCATAGACCATTTAGGAGTGAAGGATGGCGAGTTGTAGTTGATTGGCTCAAGTATCTTGCTGGTCACTCAGGCCACTAAAGAAACCTTTGATCTCTGAGTTAGCACAGGGCTCCTACTTTCTTGCCACTCCTACAGCACCCCGCCTCAGACTAGCACCAGTCCATGGCATAGTTAGAAGAGGAAAGACACATAATTTAAATTTAAATTAAATAAAATTCTTTATTTAGATTGTCCACTCTTTTTCTCCCCTTTTTTGGTGTCAAGATGTTTTTTTAATATGATGGTAATAAGAAGCTATTATATTGAAATGTTTTTGGTTTTGTTTTAGTTTTAGTTTTTGGTTTTGTTTTTGTACTGGGATTGAACCCAGGGGCATTCTACCACTGAGCACCCCAACCCTTTATATTTTTTATCTTAAACTTGGGATCCTCCTGCCTCAGCCTCCCAAGTCGCTGCTGATATTATAGACATGCACCTCTGAACCCAGCTAAATGTCCTTTCTCGACAGAATTTTAAAACTGTTTTAGTAGTTCATGAAATCCAGAAGCCAAGAAGCCATTTCAGTACTGTGTAACCTCCCTCGGATAAAAAGGCCTTAGATCTGCTGTTAAATGTATCACGGTTCATCAAAAAGATAGCATGAAGAATGTTAGAGCTTGTCTCTCTAAGGACAGGCTTTTGCAAAGATACCACAAGAAAACTACAGAAAAATATTCTCTATGAATATAGATAGAAAAATCCTCAACAAAATACTATCAGACAACATATAAAAAAAATTATGTACCATGATCAAGTGGGTATCTCAGGGATGTTAGATCATTTAACATCTTAAAGTCAATTCATGTTATATTACCTCATTAATAGAATAAAAGTCAGAACCCACAGGATCATTTAACAGAGAAAGAACATTTGTAATATTTAACACGCTTTCATGGTTTTCTTAAATTTTATTTTTACAAAACAAAACCTCAATAAAATACAAATAGAACCTGATAAAAAGCATCTACAGAAAGTCCGCCACTAATGTCGTATTTAATGGAAAAAGCCTGTATACTTCTAAGATCAGGAACAAGGAAAGGGAACCTGCTTTGCTCTTCTATTTAACATCCTACTGGAACTTCTGGCAGGGCAGCTAAGCAGGAAAATGAAATAGAAGGCATCCAGGTTGGAACGGAGAAGTAAAGTTCTCACTGTTCTCAGACAACGTAGATCTGTGTGGAGAAAGCCTTAAGGAATCCATTAAACTGTTAGAATTAATAAACCAGGTCAGCAGGATTGCAAGATCAGTGTGCACAATAGTTGTGTATTTATGTACCAGCAATAAACTGTCTGAAAATGAGAGTGAGAATGATTCCATGTACAATAACATAAAACAAAATAAAATACTTAGAAATGAATTTGACAACAGTCATAAAACACTCAGAAAACTAAGAAGCATTATCGGAGAAATTAAAGGCCTAAATAAATGGGAGACTTACCATGTTTATTGATCTGAATTCTTAATATTATTGAGGTGGCAGTACTTCCTAAATTGGTCTATAGATTTAACACAGTCCCTCTCAAAATCTCAGTTGACTTTTTTGCAGAAATTGACAAGCTTATCCTAAAATTCATATGGAAATGCAAGGAACCTATAATAGCCAATCTATCTCAAAGAAGAGCCATGTCCAAAATCCACTCACATCAGAATATATGAAGAATTCTTACAGCTCAGTGATAATAAGACAAATAACCTAATTAAAAATAGCCAAAGTACTTAAGTTGGCATGTCTCTAAAGAAGATGTACAGATGGCCTATAGGCACACAGACATCAACATCATTAGCCATCAGGGAATGAAAGTCAAAACCGCAAAGAGAAACCACTTATACCCACTAGGATGATAACAGTTTTAAAAACATTATAACAAAGGTTAACCAGCATGTAGAGAAAGTAGAAGCCTCCTCCCCTCTTGGAGAAAAGGTGAGGTAGTACAGTGCTTTGGAAAACAGCCGCAGTCTCTCAGACTCAAAGAGCCCTCATATGATCCAGCACTTCACTCCCAGAGTTGAAAACACAGTGGCCATGGAACTATTCATTATAGCCAAGAAGTGGAGACAACCCATGTCCTTCAGCTAATGAGCAGATAAACAATATTTGGTACAGCCCTAAAATGGAATATTACCCCAGAATATAAAGAAAGTCCTGGTGCCTTCTACAGCATGGATGGCACTAAGGGAACAAAGCCATTCCAAACGTCCCATGTAATTCCATTTGCATGGGATTGTCTGGTGCCATGTGGGTGCAGGGAAGGACTGAAGGATTGGCCCTGAGGGCTGAAGGGTCAAGCAGGTATTCTAAAGGTGAACATGGATGAGCAACTCTATAAATAAAAGCAATTGAATTTTACATTTTAAATGGGTGGATTCTGTGGTATATGGAATCTATCTCCTTAAAGCTTATGAAAAACCAGATAGTCAGGGTGTTGGTGTGGTTCAGTGGTAGTGCCCACCTGGCACACCAGAGGCCCAGGTTTCCATCCTCTCCACAACAAACAGAAACACGGCAGTGGCTTTTGGGTGAGCCTTGTTAGATTGAGGATGCAGAGCTGCTTTTGTTTACTGTTACCCCAAAGCCTGGCTCCTTTTTCTCTCTCAGAATTGTGAACCAGTCACCACCAAGCACTGATGGAGCAGTAAGAGAGACGTTTACTCTTGGCCCAGAATGGAGGTGACAGATATCAGAACTCCCCTTCCCACACCCTGGTGTGTGTGGCTGTGGGGCGGGAGAAATCTCTCTCCCCCTGTCTCTTGCCCCCTTCTCTATGTGGGCATATATATCCATATGTCTGTATATTATTTATATGTATATATATATATATATATATATATAGAGAGAGAGAGAGAGAGAGAGAGAAACAGAGGGGAGAGACATGCTAATCAAGGGAAGGGGTGTTCTTGGCTTTTCTGGGAATGGGCGTGGGTCTTCCAGGTATTCAGGCACCACTTTTTGCTTCTTTTCTGGCTCTTTTCTGTTGTCATTGTCATGGCATTTGTCTGCTGTCATGGCCTGGGGGTGTCATTTAGCATGCAGTTGGAATTATAGTGACATTAGAAGTTGACTGAGGGACTCTAGCAGCCATCTCTATCTAGCCAGTTTCAGCCAGCCACCTGAAGAGGGACTTCTGTCCTTCAGGTATCCTGACCTCAAAAATAAGAAGATTGTGATGGGTTGGAAATTCAGCAGGGTCACCAGGCCTGCAGCTTAGGGGGAGGCCACATTGTTCTGACCCTGCTCTCCTTTCCATTCCAGAGCTGAGCCTGTCTGCGGGGTGCCTGCAGCTGGAGCACAGGACAGAGTTCACCTCCTCTGGGATTAGGAAGCTCTACTTTGACACCCATGCCTTGGTGTGCCTGCTGGAAGAAAATGGTAATCCCCTTACCCCCCTGAGTGCCCTAGAAGACCACAGTGAACAGTGACCTCCCGTGTTCCATTCACTTTCACACGTTTCTCTTCAACTCAAGTCTACAAGTGACCTTTCCATCAGTCTCCTTTTTAGGTCATTGTTCTTTTGTTTTGTTTTGTTTGGGTTTTAGTTTTGTTGTTGTTGAAGGACATTTTTGCTTCATCAATACACTGGAGACTTCCTCCACATTTTCCCTTTGTCTAGGTGAAGTGCATTTTTATAACATCACCATGAAAGTTTAGTGTTATAGATAAGACTTAGATACAAGTTAGCAAAGCTCAAGAGTGATTTCTGACAGTGGGACTGTAGCACAGCAGTGACAGTCTCACCACTGTGCATCCTGTGTGCCTATTAAAGTTTTGTAAAATGGAAATGTTGCTGAGCAGCAATTATGGATTATTTTAACTTACTGTTCTTTTTTCTTTTCAATATTCAAATTAGCAATTTCACTTATTGCTCTGGCATAGATAGCATTCATTGAAGGTGCCCTTAGAATATGGGGAAACATTCTCATACATGATTATATTCAGACAAATATACCAATTGTGATTCTCTATTCTGTGGCACACATCTTCTCAAAACCAGAATTCCAAATTCACATAGATTATGCTTTGAAAATAAACATATCTGTGTTTTTACTTCATTGGGTAAAGTTGCACATGTTTACATTTGAGAAGCTTCTGTCTGTAATGTGCTTCACATGCCTAAGTCAGGGTGGTAGGATGAGTTGTTCTGTGCCTGTGGTGGTGTCCCAAGCACAGGGTTCAAACCCCGCCTCTGCCAGCTTCTACTGACATAACTGTAATGAAATGAAACTTCTTCGTTTTCATTTGCTCCTCTGTAGCATGAGTCTAATAAGAATTCCAAAGAACTTTTTGAGCACTTAAATGAAATAATGTCCATGAATGCAATTTGGTAAAACCATTAAGTGCTATATAACGTGTTTCACAACTTTTTTTGTCAAACTTTAAAGATCAGTGTCTGAGGACCCTACCTCAGTGTCTGAGGGCCTGTGGAAGGGGCTTTTCCCTGGATGGGGAGGGGCTTCAGATGACTGGCAAGGGTGGAGCCCAGGGAGGCTCTTAAATGAACACTCTGTGCTCTCTTTCTCCAGAACCTATCCCCTGATTAGCAGAACTTCCTAGAAGTCTGCTATCTGACTGTCCCGAGTGTGTCCTGTTCTCTCATTCTTGCAAATTGCACCACCTAACTCAATAGGTTTAAAGCTTAACTTTCGCTTTTTCATATCCCTTTCTTCTCCCACGGGTGGTTATTAACTGTTTGGCTTTGGTTTTGTTTTATCATCTGTGTAAGTTCTATATCTCTTTTTCTTCCTTTTTAAATAAATTTATTTTTAACTGATACATAAAAAGTACACATTAATGGGATGTCCACCATGCGGCCTGCGCATTGGTTTCATTAATGAGGTTCGTGGCATAAAAGTTAGCTAGCAGAGATCGAAATAAAACACACAGACTCAGTTACCTTTTTCTGTGACCAGGTCCGAGACGGCTCCCCTCTCTGGCTCCAACCTCGAACCACCCGTAGGGCAGCAAGGATTACTCAGGGCTAGCAGGAGAGAGAGAGAGCGAGCACGTCAGGGAGTAGCCTTTTATTGGGGAACAAGAAATTCAGGGGAGAATTCCATCCAATGAAGGTTGAGGGGGGGCCGCACTCCAAGGTCAGGGTCAGTGATTGGGCCCCCGGGGTCAGTGGTCAGTCACACCCCCACACAGACGGGTTCTCTCATCAGGAGAGGGCCGGGAAAGTTCCGACACAGCCAGAAGCCTCAAACCCAAACCAGGAGTCGCCCAGTCACGCGTGAGGATGGCTCTCCACATATTCCCCCTTTCTATTCTTAAAAATGAGGCGGCGGTTCACTCTTTGGAGTTTCTGTATTCTTGTTCCGAAGACTCGCCATCCTATAATTACAACACAAAAGAGAATTAACAGCAAAGAGAATAATCCAATAATGTACCAGGCCGAGTGTTTAAGAATATTTCCAGGGTTGAATCCATTCAACTCCTTCAATATTTGGTTTGCCAAAGAAGAAGGATCTGAAAAATCAGCTCTATTATTTTGAATGTCTTGGATATGGTGATGAAGTTCCAGAATATCCAAGCTATTATTACTATTTTGCCAAATACCTAACAAATGGTTTTTAACCTTCTCCCAATCCCAGAGAGAAGCATTGTACTTGGCAGCTGTAACACAAACATACTTATAATTGGCATGGCATTTAAGCCTTTCCTTAAATTTTAAGGCTGAAAGTTCATTACCTATGTCTATAACAGTCGCCTCTAAGGCGTTTAATTTAGTTTCAATCCTTTCATCAATATTTACTTGATTACGCAGAGCCTTGGAAGTATTTTGAGCTAAATTATTAAGAAATTTTGCATGCTGAATATTTTGAGACAATGTCAGAGACGCAGAGACAGTTGAGGCAATAAAGGAGACTAGCGCCAAAACACCAACAATTATAACTCCAATAGCACGTTTAGGTCTTGCTAGCTGGGCATGAATTTGCTGCAAGACTTGTAAACCAGTATCAGCATACCATGGCTCTGAAATATTAGCAGGCAATAAAACGAAAGAGGGCTGATGTAGTATCAGCACTCCTTTTCCTCCATTATACCTAGTAATACAATTGGTTAGGTTACATTTATTACAAGTAACAATATATCTGTCATCTATCCATTTAACTTTTACATTTCCAATAATTAAAACATAAGGAGATTGGACACAGGCTCGTAAGCCATAGCAAGATTCCTCTTTACAGTTCTTGCCAACAAATTTTGGTAAAGGTTTGTCTGTAAAATGTAAGAATTCTGAGGCAGCAATTAAACGCCAAACATCCTTTTGAACACCACCTTCACTATAAGTTAAAATATTACTAACAAATCCTGCAGGTGTCATAGCAGAATTTTTTCGTAATTGTCTCTCATCAATTTTTGGAGACCAGTCTAAAATATACCCACTATCTTTAGACACCTTATGTTGTACAGGAAAGGTATTTACACAATCCATCCATCTAGGAAAGGTGCCAATCTCAATTGTAGAACTATTTGGACAGTGGGGTATCTGTGGAGGTTTTGCAGAAATGACTGGCTTGTTATGGGAAAGTCCCATCTTAATTACTGATCTAGTATAAGGTCTTAAGTCCCCATAAATAGAATTATTTGTCAGTCTAGGTCTACCAATCGCTGTCTTTTCTTCGAATGATACTTTCAGACAGCCAGCATGTTTATCGTGTGACCAACACAAAGGTAATTGGGCACTGTAGCCAGAATAATTAAATCTAGTCACATGATTGGGAGTAATATGAGTATCTGTAAATCCTCCCATCATGAATGAGTCATTAGTAAATACTGGAATAGATTCTCCAGTCCACACAGCTGGGTGTACCAGGGGTGGATCTGGGAAATATGTCCAGTAAGTGTCTACTTGATCCCCCTTTACCTGACAGCCCAGCAGGGCAATTACTGTTGCTACCATCATCACTGGGGTCCTGTTCTCTCCTAGGTGTCGAAGTATTCGGGAAGCCTGGGTTGTTAGCTTCTTCACATCTTCCCATGAAATCAGCTTTTCGGCTGGGTCAATCTGGTCTTTCTTCATCCTTTTCCGATATCTCCTCCTTTTGGATAGGGGCTCCTCCGGGTCGATCCTCAGTCGCTTGAATCTGGGTTCTATCTCTTCCATGTCTAATAGCACATTCAGGTACCCAAATAGGACGAAAAGAGCTTTCTGGGAAAATACAAGCATGACCTCTGCCCCACATAAGCACCGGATCTGGGCCTTTCCACTGACCAGTCTGTAAATCTTTCCACAAAACTCTGCCTAAAGGGCCTGTTACTGAGGGAGACATTTGCCTCTCAGCAGCAGTGTGACCTTCTGCGTCACAGTTTAAAAAAATTAAAACAAACAAGGCATGATTAAGGCTATTTTGGGGAGTCACAACCCTATTCCCCCCTTTTAATTTTTGTAATTGAAGCTTAATAGATAAATGAGCTCGTTCCACAGTGGCTTGGCCTTGGGGGTTATAAGGAATTCCTGTTTTATGATTAATTTTAAACTCTTGGCAAAATTGTTGAAAAGATGAGCTTACATAAGCTGGAGCATTATCTGTTTTAATCTGCATAGGGCACCCTAAAACAGAAAAAGCTGCTAGGCAATGAGAAATTATATGGTGAGTATTTTCCTTAGTACGTGCTGTGGCAAAAATAAATCTAGAATAAGTGTCCACTATGACATGCACATAACACTGCTTACCAAATTGAGGAATATGAGTTACATCCATTTGTCATATTTGCTTTGGTTTTAATCCACGGGGATTTACCCCTGATGGCAGAGATGGAGTGTGAATAACACACTTAGGGCATTGGCTTACAATCTGACGAGCTTGTTCTCTAGTAATATTAAATTTTTTATGTAAGCTAGAAGCATTTTGATGATGCAAGGAATGGGAAGCTAGTGCACAGTCATATGAAGACATCTGTTGACAAAAAGTTACTAGTTTATCAATTTTGTCATTACCTGAAACTAAAGGTCCTGGAAGATTAGTATGAGCCCGTACGTGTGCTATGAAACATTGGTATTTTCGCATTAGCACTGCCTTTTGTAAATTATGAAATAATTAAAGTAACTCTTGTGATGAAGTATACCCAATAACTGAAGTTTCAATGTTCATAGTAACTCCGACTGCATATAAGCTGTCAGAATAAATATTAATAGGCTCATTTGAAAAGTAATTTAAGGCACAAATCAGAGCTTGAAGCTCTGCTCTTTGGGCAGAAGTATAAGAAGTTTGTATTACCTCTGTGTGAACACGACTATAAAAACCTGCTTTACCTGAGTTAGAACCATCCGTGAACACCGATAAAGCTTCATCTATAGGATGTGCACGTACAATCTTTGGAAAAATAAGTGACGTTAAAGATGCAAATTGTATAATCTTATCACGAGGATAATGGCTATCTATCTGGCCAGGAAAATCAGCAAAGGCTATCTGCCATGAACTAGAAGTTTGAAAAAGCCAATTAGTCTGCTGAACAGAAAATGGAATGATTATGATATCAGGCTCAGATCCAATTAATTGTAAAATCCTAGTTTTATCCTTAATTACTAATTGAGCTATAGAATCATGAAAAGGAATTAATGTTTTTTGAGGGGAGTGGGATAAATAAATCCACTCAGTAACTCCTAATCTTTGCCATATGGCTCCTGTTGGGGTATGCTCAGTTGGAAATATTAATAAATACACTATTTCTTTAGGATCAACTCTAGTAAGCTGTGCATTTTTAATTGCATGTTCAACTCTCCTTAAAGCTGTTCTAGCCTCTAAGGTCAGCTGGCGTGGAGAGGTTGGAGAGGGATTTCCTTGTAATATCTGAAATAAAGGACTTAACTCAGAAGTAGTTAGTTTTAAGGATGGCCTCAGCCAATTAATATCTCTTAAAAGCCTTGAAAATCATTAGGGGTTTGTACGGAAACTGCTTGTTTCGCTCCGGTAAAATTAAAGACGGCGGCCCCCATGGTCGGCGCGATGACGTCACATTGCGCAACCATCACCTACTTCCTCATTCTCGGCCGGGGGCGGGCCGACCAGAAGTTTGTGTTCCGGCCAGGCGGAAATGATGACAAGGCTGGCTCATCCACGCCATCTTGATCCGCCACGTGGGGTTGAGTCCTGCAATATCTATTATCACCAGTAGATGGAGCCCTGAACTTAAAATTGCGCATGTGACACTCCCGCGCAAAATGATTATTTCTCCCGCAAACGTAACATTTTCCGCGGGGTTTTTGTGCTAAATCTTGTGGAGTCAAAGTTTCCTTTAGTGCCGCGGCTAGGGCTATTGTCTGCAAATGGGTAGAGTCTATGTTAGAACATAAGCGAATAAACTCGGAAATTGTCCCTTTTTTACGGTGCGGCCTAAGAACATCTTGACAATACTTATTTGCATTTTCAAATGCCAATTGCCTAACAATGAACTCACTCGCCCCCGGGTTCCCGATCGACCTGTTTGCAGCCTGGTACAATCGGGCTACGAAATCTGAGTAAGGTTCACTCGCACCTTGCCTGATTTTGGTAAGAACTAAATTGGATTGGTCCTTAGGGACAATCTGCCTCCAGGCACGTTTCGCACAATCAGTTATTTGATTGTATACTACAAATTTATAATTTAACTGTCTTTTTATGTCAGTAAATTCACCTGTCCCTAGAAACATTTCTACTGGCGTTTCTATATCCTGTCTTTTGTTCTTTTCTGCCTGTTCAGTACAAAAATCAGTCCAGTAAGTTCGCCAGATCAAGAACTCTCCCCCACTCAGGCAAGATCTAGCTAAAGAAATCCAATCACTAGGAGGAAGGGGCTGCGAGCAAATATTTTCTATCAGGCTCTGTACAAAAGGCGAATTTGGACCATACGTCTCACATGCACTTTTTAGTTCCTTAATGGTTTTAAATGGGATTACAGCATGAACTCTAACTCTCTGATCTTGCTCATTAACTTGCTCAAAAACTGGAAAAAGTTGGAAACCGCTAGTATCCTCCCCATCTTCCTGTGCTTTCTTAATACCTCGCTGGAACGGGGTAAGAAAAGTCATTGTTAATCCAGTGTACCTGTTAAATTTTGTCCTTTTAGCAGGCACTGGCCGAATTCGAATAGCCTGGGCAGGCGGTGTTAAACGCAGCCTGTTAAGATTTCTCTGTAAGTCCTGAATTTCAACGTCTGATTCTTCTCCCTCAGACTATGATTCATGGTCAGACTCTGCGCTGTCGCCATTTTGAAATTGGGCTTCTAAGCCATGTGGCTGAGAAGAACTCTGTGCCCCTCTAGGAATCTCTTCCGGATTCTCCTCTCCAGGAAGATCCTCTACCTCTTCCGGAGGGCTTTCTAGGACTTCGGAGGTTTCTCCTCTATGATATTCGTCCCTATAATCTCCCTGCGGGCTAGCCTGGTCTTGCAAGTTTAAGGTCACATTCCTAACTTTTGGTTTGGCCCCTAGCGTCTTTGTTTTTAAAGGGCTTAAGGGAAAGGGAATTAACTTAGCCTCAGGCGGATTTTCCATTTGAATAGACTTAATAGCCCTCTGCATGCCTTTTTACAGGTCTTCAGGGGGCCACGAACTTTGGCCCATATACTCAAAAAGACAAACTTCCAGAGCTGTCCAAGTTTTCTGAATACTTTCTATGCCTCCAGGTAGTTCATTAGAAAGATAAACCTTTTGTAACTTTCTTCCTAATTTCTCCCAAGTAGATAAATTTGGAGACTCTTGTTCACAAAACCAAGGACAATATTTGCCTACAATCTTTAAGAATTGTAATAACTGAGCTTTCTTTATCTGTTTTCCTTTCTGATTAATTATACTGTCTAAAATAGTCAGATACATTTCCTTATCCGTAGAAGTTGAATTTCCCATTTTAATTAATTTAACGTCTCTTTCCTTCAATATCTCCAGGTACTTTTGTGACTCTAAATTGTCACCACTTCCTTTATCTTATCTTTATAGCGCGCTCCCACTCAATCTAGCTAATCTAGAATGCCCCACGTTGGGCGCCAATTCCACCATGCGGCCTGCGCATTGGTTTCATTAATGAGGTTCTTGGCATAAAAGTTAGCTAGCAGAGATCGAAATAAAACACACAGACTCAGTTACCTTTTTCTATGACCAGGTCCGAGACGGCTCCCCTCTCTGGCTCCAACCTCGAACCACCCGTAGGGCAGCAAGGATTACTCAGGGCTAGCAGGAGAGAGAGAGAGCGAGCACGTCAGGGAGTAGCCTTTTATTGGGGAACAAGAAATTCAGGGGAGAATTCCATCCAATGAAGGTTGAGGGGGGGGCCGCACTCCAAGGTCAGGGTCAGTGATTGGGCCCCCGGGGTCAGTGGTCAGTCACACCCCCACACGGACGGGTTCTCTCATCAGGAGAGGGCCAGGAAAGTTCCGACACAGCCAGAAGCCTCAGACCCAAACCGGGAGTCGCCCAGTCACGTGTGAGGATGGCTCTCCACAGGGATGTCTGTCTTTTTCTTTTCCTCATAACTGTTAAGTCCTAATTATGTTTAACCAAGAACTCTTAGTAAAGTTTTAAAGGTTGCAAAATAACATGATCATTTTCTAAATATTAGGAAGGCAGAAAAGAAAACCAAAAAACCTCAGAGCCCAGTATCCCAGAGCTAGACAATGAACATTTTGGTGGGGACCCTTCTGGGTGTTTCTTCAAGATGTGCTTGACACACATTTTGAAAAATAAAAGACTTTTGAATAAATTGGTAGATCTTTGGAGGTCCTTTCTTCTCCTTTCAAAATCGTTGTTAATTATAGTCCCATGTTTAATCTTACCCAGACAGATTATTTTATTATTCAAGCAAACAGAATGTGTATTATTTAGAATGTACTGATTCTTCTGAAGCATTTAATAGAAGGAATTTGCTATTCAGGCACTCAAGTTTTAAATATTTTGTTAAATTTTCTACATGAAATATGAGTTACAGACAACAGTTATTAAAAACATTAACAATGCCAAGTTGCGAATCTCTATAATTTGATTCACCATCATTTGTTGAGTGTTAAAAAATATCTTTTATCCAACTTGGACCTCCCAGACTATTGACTGAAGGAAAATGTTGAGGGAAAAAATCAAAGAACTGATTTTATCATTTAGCATTAAATAAGTTAATGTTGCTGAAAGCTCAGTCCTTGGCTTCAATCCAGTAAGGAAGACACGGTTTTGAGAAAATGGGAAAAGAAGGTTTATTGCTTTGCTACCAAAGGAGAAACATAGGGGACTCCTGTCCCAAAGGCTGTGATTCTGCCCAGCCATAGGAACAGGGTGCTTTTATAGAAGTGATTCAGAGAAAATTAGATTAGGAAGGGTAGATCAGGAAGTAGATATGATGGAGGGGGAGATCAGGAAGAAGTTTAGGGAAAAGACAGACTGGGAAAAAGAGAAAACATGTAAGCTTCAACGCTACCAGGGATATAGTCAAAGCATCACGTGAACCCCAGTTACATTAACAGCTAGATTACCGTTTGTACAGTCAGTAATTTGATATGTGGTAGATAAATTGTCCACCATAGAAAATTTAGACAATTTAGAGAAATATAAAGAAGAAAATAAAATTTCCATGAATCTTCGTTAAATGATCGAAACAGTCTGGGGATGTAGCTCAGTGGTGAGGTGCGTGCCTGGCATCCTGAAGCTGGGAGTCCTGTGCCTGGCACCACCCCAAACAACAACTTGTACAAACAGTCCTGCATCTGTAATTTGGAGTCAGCCTTTTATCACTTGGCAGACCCATCTGAAGACATGAGTTTTGGCGGCGGGAGGGGCGTTGGAGATCATAATGACCTGGGCACCTGACTGGGTGTGGGACACTCTGGGATGTTTCTTACCCGTCAGGGTGACGGGCACATCCCAGCTGTGGCTCTCAGCTCCGCCCTCCTGCCCGCTGCTGCCCTCTTGTTTCTGGGTTCAGAACGGAACATTCACGTGGGCATGGATTGTCTTATCCTGACAGCTGCGTTCTTCCGAGTGTGATCATATTCGTGTGTGTGCTTGCTTAGGTTTTACTACTCAACAAGCAGAAATCATGGTCTCTGCACTGGTCAAGATCATGGAGACCAATATGAACATCGTCTACAAAGACATGGTCACCAAGGTACAGCAGGTAAGTGTGGTCCTGGGGGTGAGCAAACTGGAAATCTGAAAGTGGGGTGTTATTTGTAATTAGTATTCATGAAACTTTTCAGGTAATAGTTGGTTGAAAAATATATAGTAATTTTAACCATAGGAGGCAAAAGAGAATAGAGCATAAAATTAGACTCTTCAGGCTTAAAAGTTCACTATGCTCAAAAGCTGTCTGTCCTGGTCAGGGTACTTCAATAAATGGAGATGTGGCCAGAGTCGTGTCCTTGGTCCACAGACTTGTGATTCACGTGGTGGTGATCTGTTGCATGGTTTGTTCTCCCCGTTTTCTCACCTTGAATAGTGGTGACCTTACTGAGCCCCCTCCAGTCCTTATCTGTCTAGTTCCTTGTGGCGATGACAGCAGGTACAGACACCAGGAGGTGGACTGCTGGGCTCACTGGATTGTATGTGTCATTCCTCTCTTTCTAGGAGATCACTCTTCAGCAAATAATGTCTAAGATTGCTAATGTGAAAAAGGATATGATCATTTTGGAGAAGAGTGAATTTTCAGCTCTCAGAGCAGAAAATGAGGTAAAAACTACAGATCACTCATAAAATATGTTACATTAAGACACTGAGCTGGGCACGGTGGCACACGCCTGTAATCCCACCAGCTTGGGAGGCTAAGACAAGAGGATCACGAGTTCAAAGCCAGCCTCAGCAACAGTAAGGTGCTAAGCAACTCTGTGAGACCCTGTCTCTAAATAAAAATACAAAATAGGGCTGGGGATATGGCTCAGTGGTTGAGTGTCCCTGAGTTCAATCCTCAATACCAAAAAAAAAAAAAAAAATTACACCGAGGTAAAACACACACACAGATGGGCAGTGCACAAGTGTGTACCACCACGAACTTCCAAGTATGCACCCTGAGGAGATGCGGGGGCAGAGCGTCACCCATCTCAGGGTCCTGCTGGTGACCTCAGTCAGGTCAGTGTTTGCAGTGCCACAGAAGTATGCCATTCTGTCCTCCTGGGGTGTGTGGGAACGATGCCCAGCTGAGGGCTGTCCAGGTCACATGCTGCTGCACAGGTCCCTCTCCCTTCTCCAGGCAAGGCACGTGGCTCGTGGGTCAGCACTTAAGTAATCGTTCTCTTTGCATCTTCCTTTTATTTTCAATCCTATTTAAAGCCCATAAGGGAAGGCTATTTATTGCCTGTTGATTTTAACCTCATAAGAAACCTTATCCTTAAAAGGTAAAGTCTGAACTCTCAGAGTCATCCTCAAAATCAGTTATTGAGGGCAGAATTAGTTGGAAAAAAAATTTTTTTGAAGGAAATATTAAAGAAAGCAAGGTTACTGCAAGCAAATATTAAAACAGTTGTGTAGCCAAGGGCAGTAGTACACACCTGCAATCCCAGCAGCTCAGGAAGTTGAGGCAGGAGGATTGATTGCAAGGTCAGAGCCAGCGTCAGCAACTTAGCAAGATTCTGTCTCAAGATAAAAAGGGCTAGGGATGTGGCTCAATGGATAAGCGCCCTGGGTTCAGTCCCTGGTAACAAAAAAAAAGCAGTTACATCACTAATTTTACACAACCTTCAAGATGAATTAAAACTAATTTCAAGGTCTGCACAGGCATAGAGTATGACACATTTGAGCTCTGAATATTGTCAAGTTTGTGCTAAATGAGGGAAAAAGTTTAAGAACTTGTGCATAAATACATGTTGTAGTATTTGTAGATTATCAAGTTTTATGTTTTTCCTACAACTTTCTAAACATTCTTGTTACTCTTTACAACTTTCTAAACACATCCTTGTTTCTTTTTAATGTGTTTTTAGAAAATAGAACTTGAACTACATCAATTAAAGCAACAAGTAATGGTAAGATTCTCTTTCCTATATGCTGACTTTTTAAAATTTTATAAGCATAATGTCAGAAATAATTATATACTTTTAAAAACTTAATTCTTGGTGAAATATTTATGTAATATGCTTCAAAAGTTCACATTGCAAGACTTAACACAGCCAATGAATAAGTCGCCAGTGTCTAACCAAATTCATTAACAAAATTGCCTTCTAGGAGGAGTTAAATCATTTTAAATCAAAATGTTTGTGAAGTAACCAAATGGAGCCCTTAGATTTCTCTTAAAAGTGACTTTCTTTAGAAAATCACATGTGATTTTTAAATGGTTACCAGGCCAGCTGTGTTTGGTTTGGTTTGGTTTTTTAAGGAGGAGGAAAGAGTATTGATTTTAAAAAAGAAAAGATTTTGATGAGTTTCAAAAAGAAGGCTTTACTTCAACCAGAGCTTAATGTTTCGTCTTGGCTTTCCATAGTTATCTGGGGAGCTGCTTTATTCCTGAATTCCACAGGGGGTTATGTAGGACATCTGGAAGTAAAGGCACCTGTGGTCCCCTGCCACCCAGGAGTTTGAGGGCAGCCTGGGCAACACAGAAAGCAGTAATGACCCACTCTGGGCTGGCATGCCTCTCGGAAGGGACTCTAGTCTATACATGAGGCTGGAAGCCTGAAGACAGGGCCAGCCTGGCTCCTCCACAGTCCCCTGACATTGTTATCCCTGGCCCCACCTCCGGCCGTGCCCTTCCCTGGCTGGCTCCCTTGGGCAGGTGTCCTGGGCTCAGGTCCTCAGGAGCTGTGAATTTCTGACTGTGGATTTCTCTTTGTTTTTGCCTTTCTATTAGGATGAAATGATCAAAGTCCGGACAGATACCAAATTAGACTTCAATCTGGAAAAAAGCAGAGTAAAAGAATTGGTATGTTCTTCTATTAAAAATAATTTATGAGGGGCTGGGGTTGTGGCTCAGTGGTAGAGTGCTTGCCCAGCATGCACGAGGCACTGGGTTCAATCCTCAGCACCACATAAATGTAAAATAAAGAAATTGTGTCCACCTAAAGTTTAAGAATAAATATTTTTAAAATAAATAAATAACGCATTCATTTCTTTTCAGGATGGAGTGCTTAGTTAAGTCCTAAGTTTGCATACATGTCACAAGTATTGTTAAAATATTTACCAATTTTTAGTGTTAGACAACACCTTTTTCACTCTGTTTTGGAATAGGGCTTAAATTTGATGCTTTCAAAATTGCTGGGCAGGGTAGCCCATGCTTGTAATCCCAGTGGCTCAGGAGGCTGAGGCGGAAGGATCACAAGTTCAGAGCCAGTCTCAGCATCTTAGTAAGGCCCTGTCTCTAAATAATATATATTAAAACCTGGGGATGTGGCTCAGTGGAAGCACCCTGAGTTCAATTCCCAGTATAAAAAAAAAAGTAATGCTAATATTAAAATCTTGTTCAAATTGGGTTTAAACCTTTGTTTCAGAGATACTAGATAATGTGTTACATAGACATTAATAAGCAATTTAAACTCAATCTTGATCTATTTAATACTGACTTAAATCTCTGCAGGCCCTCATTTTGAAAAAGTTGATTATTTCAGATGAGCAATATTAAATAATACTAAATTCTACACAAATTCTGGATTAAAACATATTTCTGGGGCTGAGGTTTTGGCTCAGCGGTAGAGCGCTCGCCCAGCACGTGCGAGGCCCTGGGTTCGATCCTCAGCACCACATAAGAATAAATAAATTAAATAAAGGTATTGTGACCAATAATACAACTAAAAATACAACTAAAAAAATAAATACAAAAAAACATATTTCTGTTTTGTCTTTGTGTGTGGTGCTGGGGTCGAACCCAGGCTAGACAAGCGCTATACCATGGAGCTGCACCCTGTATAATGTCTGTTAAATACAGAGAGAAGGTGTTATGTTGAAGATGCGTGTGTTGGATTTGGTTTTTAACCTGTCTAGGCATTCACCTCTCTGCTCAGGCTTTCTCTAGATGGCCATGTTAGTTAGGTGCCTTTTTTTTCCTTGGCTTAATGACAAGTGGGCACGTGGGGCATATTCCCAGCATGAACTAGTGTGAATGCACCTGCAGACACCGCCTGTGCAGACTCATTTTTCACAACTTCCCTTTAGTCAATGTGTGCTGTAATGGTAAATGGAGCTAATACTGCAACTCGGATAAATGCATAATTGTATTTTAGAACTGCTGCTGGACCTCAAGAGTTAAATTGAACTTCATTATACAAAACAGTTTCATGCCCATGTTACTCATCTTCTAGTCTCAGGATACTTATCAGCCATGAGATGAAATCACCTAGTCTCCCTAAAACAGTAGTGACCGCAAGCACATGACGGCCACCTAGGAGAGACACTTTTGGTTACCTTTATTCTCCTGGGTCATGTTTTTAAGTCTGAATTCATTTGATTTAGAACAGCAATCAAGCTGATAAAAAGCACATCTAGGAGATTAGAACATGGGAAGTGAAGGTTGATTAAAGCCATGAATCTGTGACTTACTCACCTAGCTGGGAAGCTGTTCCTGGTGATGCTGAACCTGCAGTATCATGTTAGCTCATGTGTAGGTAACATGCCTTGGTGGAGATGAGTCATTTGGCCTTCTAATTCCTTTAGTGAGGTTATTAAATTAAAAGTTAAATGAACTGTGGCAACATTTACAGCCAGTTTCAAAAGCAGTGTGGTATATAAATATTATGGGGCTCGGGGAGAGGGAACCCCACATGAGTGTCATTTCTACCTTGTGGGATGTCCAGGCTTTCTTCTCTTCTGGTGCCCAAGTCAGGGCTGGTGCTTTAAGGTGTGCGGAAAATCCAGCTCCACCCTGCCCCCTGGTGGCAGCTTGACACCTAATGCCCTGGTCTGAAACCCTGGTATTTGGGGAACATTGTTCCTTGTTGGTCTTGCAACTAGTTTAGTTTGGGGTTGGGCATTGTTTATTTTTTGTCAGTTTCTTGTTTTGTTTTACTTCTAAGAAATGGTATTTTCATACTCTATTCCCTGATAGTTCTAGGAGGGACTGACTACCAGTTGCTTAGTTCAGGTAGTTCCTAGGGGAACATTTTATACCCAGAAATTTCCTAGATATTTCAGAGCATTAACTTTTTCCTTTATAATAACGCTAAGTCCTAAAAATCTTCATTTAAACTACAATGTGTCATTTGCTTAATTAAATCCTAATGCCCACCACTGAGGAGATATGTCTGATTTTGATTTTAATGTCAATAAAACTGTACTAAATCCTTTCACAGATATTAAAAGCCAGAGGCAGGAGCCATTTTAATTAGGGTTGGAGCTGGTAGGTTCCTTTGTGACTGGGTGTGACCATGCCGGAGCAGGAGTATTGTTCTATTGAACCCACAGGCAGTAGCTTAGTGTTTCTCACATTTTTGTGTTGTGTTTTATAATCACAGTGCAGTGTCTGTGTCACAGAGAACATTCCTTGGAGCTATCTTTTCCCCAGCTTTCTATTGTCCTGGTCTTTCTCTTCACCTCAGTGCTGACCTGTTTTCTTACAGCTGATGGGACAGCTCCTAACTTGAATTGGTTCTCTACCATTTTCAGCCTCTCAGAGCCAAAAAGCCTGTGGCTCAGCCTCCATCTAATCAGACCCATGAAGTGCTACTGCACCAGTGGGATTTAGTGCAGGTTGTTACCTGGTACCACAGTAGAGAGGTGACCAGTGACAGAAGGAGATCCGAGGATCAGAGCAGGAAGTATGAATAAGAAAGCTGAGTCACAGAATCTGAGCCACAGGAGCAGGCTGCTGTGTCCCCAGGGGGTTTCTGTGTCGGGGTGATCTAGGGAGGACTGAGACCAGAACCTCGAAGGCAGCAGAGGAGAGAGGGGCCATCAGGGGGACCAGGGTCTGACCTGCATTATGTGTCTATTTCAGTACACATTGAACGAAAGGAAGCTGCTGGAATTGAGGACAGAAATCATGGAATTGGTAAGAAATGACACTTTGACTTTTCTTTGTAGTTTTATCCATCTTCATTTCATCCTGTTCATAGTTATTGTCATTTGTAATTATGTATTGTGGAAAGATATGCAGCTTTATGTCATGAGGTTTTTAAAAATTGAGGTAGAATATACATAATATAGGAGCTGGGGATGTGGCTCAAGTGGTGGAGTGCTTGCCTGGCATGCATGAGGCATCCTCAGCACCACATAAAAGTGAAATGAAGATATTGTGTCTACCTAGAACTAAAAACTGAATATTTAAAAAAAAAGAATATACACAATATTAAAAATACCATCTTGAGCCAGGCACAGTGGCGCACGCCTGTAATTCCAACAGTTCGGGAGGCTGAGGCAGGAGGATCTTGAGTTCAAAGCCAGTCTCAGCAACAGCAAGGTGCTAATAAGCAACTTAGGGAGGCCGTATCTCTAAATAAAATACAAAATAGGGCTGGGGATGTGGCTCAGTGGTTAAGCACCCCTGTATTCCCTCTCTTGTACAAACAAACAAATAAATAACCATTTTTACGATTGTGGTTCAGTGGTATTTATTTTGCAAAATTAAAACTGTATCCCTTAAACACTAACTCCACACTCCCTCCTCCTGCAGCTGCTGGCAACCACCGGTCTGTTTTCTTTCTTTAGAGTCTGACTGTTCTAGGTAATTTCTAGTAAGTGGAATCATGCAGTCCTTGCCTTTGGTTGCTGGCTTGTTTCACTTTAGCACAGTGTCCCCAGGGTTCACCCACGTTGTTGTACATGACAGAATTTCTTCCTTTTCAGAACTTGATTGTATTCCATTGCATGTTTATACCACATTTTACTTATTTACCTGTCAGTGGACACCTGAGTTGCTTCCCTTTTCTGCTATTTTTATGCCACAACAAACATGGAAAGTAAATAGCTCTTGAGCCCATTTTCAGTTCTTTCGGTGTGAACCCAGAAGTTGAGTATTTTACACTTAACAAAATACTTGATCTTGATGAAAATTTAAATCTGTGATTGACAAATAGTAAGGAATGGAGACCTTGTCTCATTATTTAATTACGGGCTGCATTACTCCTTTTCCTCTCTCCTCCCTCAAAGGCTGGGATGTAGCTCAGTGGGAGAGCATGTGCTCAGCATGGGCCTGGTTCAGTCCCCAGCGCTCACACGAGGGACCTGTGAAATCTATTAAGAGGCTTCCATGAGAGGATTCTGGGATGTTGCTCTGGAATACTTTTGAACACATTTAAGCATTCACTTCCTTGTTCGTTGCCTGAATTGGTAATGGTAGGAGACTGCTGGCCTGACCTAGGATTTTCAGTGAAGCCTTGTCTTGGTTTCAGGCCTGAATGCAGTTACATAATGTCAACCTCTTTGCGGGTGAATGTACACCTGGTTTAACTGTGTTGATTTGGGGAAGGACACAAAGAGACCCTTGGTAGCTAAGCCTTGTATTAATGAAGCACTTGATGTCTGAACTACAGAAGAAAGCTGTAAATTACCAACATGGACTAGAAGTAACGTCAAGACAAGCAGGGTCACTTTTGGATTGCCTAAGGAGTCAAAAGAATTTTTGTCAGAGGAAGGGAACACAGTCATTGTATTGAGGGCAGACTGGCTTCGTAATGCTTCATCAGGCTCGGCAACCTCTAGTTCACGAAAGGTTTGCACACGGGTTCTCGCTTTTGATTCTCTAAATAGCCTGTGTGAAGGGCGGCCAAAGGTTGTAGGGGTCTGTTTCTGTTTTCCCAGTCAGGGGGAAACTGAGGCCTGGAGACCTAAAGCATGGCCCCTGGTCTCCCCTAGGCTGCCTGGGGGCTCCCCAGCAGAAAGGTGCTCTGGGATGGAGGGCGGGGGGCCAGGACCTGAAGCCTCCTAATGCTCTGAAGCTCTTTGTTTTGAAAGCATGCCCAGCAGGATCGTGCCCTGACGCAGACAGATAGGAAGATAGAAACGGAGGTCGCTGGCCTCAAAACCATGCTTGAGTCGCACAAGCTCGACACCATCAAGTATCTAGCAGGTAAGCTGTTTGGTGTCTGAGTGTTCAAACAACCTGGCAAGGAAATACGTCAGACTTTATAGAAGTCAAATATTGCATTTCATTGATTCTAGCACTTCTTTTCATGGAAAGCTTCTTGTAATTTTCAATAGATGAAGTATTATTCTTTCATTGGTATTTTTTTCTTTCTTACTATCCTTTCTTTACTCACTAGTAAAATAAAAATAATGGTGTACTTTACAATTGAACAAGTCATAAATTTAATAAGATAATATCATTGGATGATGGCTATTGGGATTTTAGAGGAATTCAATAAAGGAAGTATTTTATGAATAAAAGAGAAAGTATTTGAGTTGTGATCTTTCTGCTTTGATTGATAATACTCCTTTTAAGGGGTCATTTTGCATTTGCAATTTTTGAGCCAAAAGAGGGAATGTAGATTCATGTATCAGAAACAAAAACATAAGCTGGGCAGTGGCGCAGCAGCACCTTAACAAGGCCCCATCTCAAAATTAAAAATTTTAATAAAGGACTGAGGACATAGCTCAGTGGCAAAGTGCCCTGGGATTCAGTCCCCAGTACCTCTCTCCCACCTGGTGATGGGGATGTGGCTCAGTGGTAGACCACCTAACCTAGCATGCATAAGGCCCTGGGTTCAGTCCCCAGGGCTACAGCCAAACAAACAATGCAGAAATTATTTCAAATCGGTTTTAAAAGCTTAGATTAATCAGGTACTTTAAAGTTATAACTATATATATTAAAATATCTGTACCTGAATCATTCACATGTATATGTATTTGCGTACACATATGTGGATGTACACACATATATGTATGCTTTGTGACCAAGAGTCTTTGTGATCCTAAACTTTCTTGAGAAGTTCTCGTGAATACTAAATATATTTGTACTTTGAAGTTGATGGTCTCAAGATATGGAGTTAGTTTGTTTTTAACAGGCAGATGTTTCTTGGCATATTAGTGAGCAGACAAGTTTCTGAATTTTTTTGTTTTTGTTTTTTTCCCCCATAGCGGAGAGGTAGTTGGATGTGTTTCCTTAATAAGCAGAGGTTCCTGCACTTCAGGTCACCTCTAGCTTATTTACAATCTTTTTTTTTTTTTTTAAGAGAGAGAGAGAGAAATTTTTAATATTTATTTTTTAGTTTTTGGTGGATACAAAATCTTTATTTATTTTATATGGTGCTGAGGAATGAACCCAGCACCCCGCGCATGCCAGGCGAGCGAGCTACTGCTTGAGCCACATCCCCAGCCCCTACTTACAGTATCTGATGCAGTGTAACATGTTCCCTCAAGGAGCTGTAGTAGAACTAATAATACTCAATTATTTTTTCTTACAGGGTCTGTATTTACATGCCTGACAGTAGCTCTGGGATTTTATCGCCTGTGGATGTAATAAAGGTGTCTATTTAAAGAGATTTCCATTGTTTTGCCTTAAGAATACCAGACTATTGTCTCTTTTTTTTTTTTCTTGTTTCAAATTTTAATTCTGATTTGACTTAATGCATACTGTTTATTTTTACACAAATTATGGGCACATAGACAAAGTAAAGAAGTCAGGGACTCTCTGATCATCCTTTTTGCCTTCTGCCTAGTTAACTTGATAACTAAGGGGTGTGGCCCACACCTGGACGACCCCACTTAGTGATCCATGCACTTGGTCTGACCTTGGTGCAATACCGACAATAAGTGTTTTTGTAATTCCCTACAATTCGAAATCTTCTTGTCACATAGAGGACTTGGGGTCTTCATTAAAAGGGGACTGTGGCTATAAGCGCTGAAGAATCATTGACTCCAACCCTGAGCGCCCACTCCTCACCCACCCTCCCCTCACCGCTCCCCGCCCCAGCGCTGCCTCTGCTGGGCTGGTTCTGGTTAATACAGCTGTACTTCTGCTCCTAAAGAATGCTTGCTGCCGACTCCGTTGTCTTAGTAAGTTACTGTTATGTTATTTTTAATGTGCCTTCCAGCTAGAAAATCTTGCTGCCTAATGAAGCGTTGTAATTGTAATGGGAACTCTTGCTGCTTAGGATGCTAGATCCCCCTCGTGTCTTGAACTGTAATGCTGCTCTGCTGAGGCACTGCCACCCAGAGGACCCCTCCTCCTCGGCCTGGTCAGCTGCAGTGTGCGCTTCAGCCTGGTCCCTCCTCATCTGCATCTTCGTTTTCTACAGGGGAGCACTCGGCTCCCTCCTGCAGGTTGTCTAGACATCTGGCTGTCCTGTCGCTCTAAATGATGAAGCCCACGCCTGTCCGAGTGCTGCCTGTGACAAGCTCAGCTGCGCCTTCCGAGTGAGGACTGGCTTCTGTTGCTGAGACGTCCTCAGGCCTACCCTACCTCTGTATTTGAAACAAATAAATCCTAGGTGCAACTGGGGTTATTTTAAAGAAGTACCTTTTGTGCTTATTGAAACAACAGACTTGTGGGCAAGAATAAGCATTTTGGAGTCTGGTGTGGTACCTCACACCTGTAATCCCAGCGGCTCGCAGGAGGATCATGAGTTCAAAGCCAGCCTCCTCAAAGGCGAGGTGCTTAGCAACTCAGTGAGACCCTGTCTCTAAATAAAATACAAAATAGGGCTGGGGATGTGGCTCAATGGCCGAGTGCCCCTGAGTTCAATCCCTGGTACCCCAAAAGAAAGCATTTTGGAAGCAGTGACACTGACAGGACCTTTTCTGTCTTTACACTCACACGTGCTGCACACCATACGGTGCAGAAACCACAGGAGGATTTCTTGATCAGTTTGGCAGAATAAATTACCCAATGCCAACCACATTAGTAAAATTAAGTTACCTTTGTCCTTCAGATGTAATTTCTAAGCATTAGGAAGTCTTTACTATTTTAGAAAACATTTGTAAACCAAGCATTCTGAGCTTCAGACCATAGGATAATCAAGTACTTTTCTATTAGTGGAAGCAGTTTCAAAGTGAAATATCCTAATTTATTCCTTTTCAAGTAGATCAAAAATTGTCTTAATGACTTAACAAAATATTTCATCAGTATATTCTTTCCCCTTTCTAAGAAGAGTCCCTGGGAAGAACAGTGCATTCAGCCGTTGCCTGAGACACCTTGAAGCCCCCATGGGCCCCCCCCCCCCCCCCCGAAGACCACACTGTGACTAATGTCAGCACAACCTAGGATAGAGCTGGAGAGGGACTCACCAGGTCACAGCTCCGAAATAAAGCCCCCAGGAGCAAAGGTACCATGTGCCATTGTGTTTACTTGAAACACTGACCTTGGTAGGTCAAAAGCAAGCATGCCGTCCTTTCATCCTGACCATTAAATAACAGTGGGGTGACAGTCTTGTGTCTGCTAAAGGCACTCCCACATCGTGCCTCCTGGCCTAGTGGGCCTCATCATCCCATCACTTAACTTAGACCTTTGGTTTTTCTGAGAGTTCTTGCAGCACAGAACAGCCCTGTTGGGCTTGGGGACAATGAACTGTCCTTTAGAAGATGTGGATGGCATGTAGGTCTGGAGTTCAGCAGGGCTTGGGACTGGTTCCCATTATTTAGCCAGTGTTTTATATTTGAAAATCATTGAGCTGGCTCCAGCATCTGCACGGTGGGAGCCAGCTGTGTCTAGACAGTTACAGCTTCCTGTCCTCCAGCTCCTGAGAAGTCAGATCACCTTAGGAAATTGGGCATTATCTAGCAAGACTAAAACAACGTGGGCATTTTTCCCCTCAAATATGCCAAGCCCCTCCATTGGAAAGTTGCAAGTTCAAGAAGAAAGGCTTGACTCATGCCTCAAGCCTCAGCCCCAGCAGACCTGTCTCTCCCGGCCGTCCCCGCATAGCTGTGCTCAGCACTGCCATCTGCCCTCCTTGTCTGGCTCCCTCTCCACCCTTTGCCCGTCATTAGCATCCTGCTCTGCTGTGTTCTAAGACCTCTGCATCCTGAACAAATCTGCACCCTGTACTCTAGACCTCTGACTTCAGCAGACATTTACCAACTTTGTTGTGGCTTTTTTGGCACTAAAAAACATGTTGACTGGAAATAATGTACTCCTTATTTAAAATACTCAAGACTGTTTAGTCCTTTATTGGAATTTTATTTGGAAAATATATATCTTTCTGCAGATTTGTACCTAAGTTTCCTTTGATTACAACCAAAATCATTTGTTAACCCTTTTATTACTTAAGCAAATATTCAATTACATGGTTTATTATCTAATGGAGTGTGTATTAGGTTTTTATTATCTAAAAATATTTAATTATTTGTGACTAATATTTTGGGGGACAAAGGGTGGCTAGGAATTGAAGCCAGAGCCTCATGCATACTAGGCAAGCACTCAACCACTGAGCTACATCTCAGCCCTCTAATACATTTTTCCAGTGGTTCAAATGAAAAACTAAAATAACTTCTGTCTAGAACAACTGTATTCACTGTATCCTTTATATGATAAAATGAGTGAATTGTAAGTTAATCTAATAACTGAAAATTTGAATTTACATTAAAGTATTTAAAAGTAAATATTTGATCTACAAAATAAATTTTTATTCAAAAGAATTATTCAGCATACTTGTGTACAGTATTTTAAGTACTTCTTCGGGGAAATGATGAGCACAATGCACAGGTTTTTAGAGAGGACTGGGGGGCAGGGGGGACCAGGTAATGGGATTCCACCTCAGGCTAGCTTGGACAGAAAATGATTTCTGTTTTCAGCTTGCACAACCAAAGTCTGGGCAAGGCACACTAAGATGCCATCAGAACTCTCCTCTCTATAAGCACCTAGGGCCCATGTCTGCAGCTACCTCTGACACAAGCCTCACCCTGATTAGCTCCACTCTGAGAACACCTGGAAAGGAATGGTCTGGGGAGGGGTGGGGGGGCTGGGCTGCAGCAAGCATCAGCCTCCTGAGGGGTGCTGTGGTTCCTTGCTGCATGCTCACCTCCCTGGGAGCCTACTGGGCAGGTTTCCCAGGAATCAGCTCTGCGAGCAGAGTTTCAGGGTAATCAATGTCTGCTCCACAGGAATGCTTTGGAAAATTGGGCAAATGAAATAGAAAAGTAGTCAGGAAATTAATGCTGGGTACCTTTCATTTTCTCCAACTAGAAATCTTAAAGTTAGAATCAGAGCAACTAGACTTGAGGGTTAGCAGCAGTTTCTAAAAGGTGATTAGCCTCTGAGATAGGGAAAGGCCCTGAGTGATCTGCAAACTCTGCCTTCAAGCTCGCAAATGGTGTGTTAGATGTGAGTCACCGTCCACCCCGTCCTCTCTGGGCCCCATTTCACATCTGTGGTGCATGAACAAACTCAGTCCTTTTCACTTTGGGCCTTTGGTTTTTCCAAAAATAAGAAAATTGTTTTAAAGGAAAGCATTTTCTAGAAACAGATTTCTCTCTGGAATCTGAGCCTCAGGCGTTCCAAGGCAGAGCTTCACGTTCATTGGTGTGCCAGTCACGTCTCCATTGTAATCTGCAGTTTCCACAGGAGGCTCCTGCCATGAAGCCTAAGGGTGCTGGGCCCATGGGCACTGAGAGAGGCCACTGTCCAGCAGCGTCTTCAGCCTACAGATCACTGAGATTCTTGTCGTCTTATCGCACATATGCAGGTAACTATTTTGAGACCCACAGTTTAAGGAATGAGTATTTGAAATACATAAGTATAAAGAAGGCCTTAACTTTTCCTTTCAGTTTAATCCTTTTTTCTCTTTCCTTTTTTGCACACGCACTAATATTTCAGTAAACTCTATTCAGTTCATGATTCTGAAGCCTCAGTCGGCTCAGTATTAAAGCCCCGGAGCTGTATTCGGAGGGTAGATGCAGCTTAGCATATTATTTCTGCTGCTGCTGTTTTTCAGCAATGATTCTTCAAACCCCTGCCCCTAGGCCACCTCAGTGTCCTGGACACTCATTCTCTCAGGAGGACAGACACAGCTGCTTGGTGGTATCTTTTTCTCCACAGACAGCATAAAAGTCAATATCTTTTCCTAAACAGAAGTATTTCTTACTATTTCTTTCATGTTTGCATAGTATTATAGTTTGCATGACCAGCATTCCAGGGGCTATTGTAATAGGCAGTGTCTCTTCAACCTCAAGAATTGCTGTCTGTGCCAGGCACAGTGGCACACACCTGTAATCCCAGTGGCGTAGGAGGATCCCAAATTCAAGGCCCACCTCAGCAACTTAGCAAGGCCCTAAACAATTTAGTGAGACTTTATCTCAAAATAAAATATAAAAAAAAGGGCTAGGGATGTGGCTCAGTGATTGAGTGCCCCTGGGTTCAACCCGTGGTACCAAAAACAAAAGAATTGGTGTCTGTGCAAACCTCAGTGGCTAAGACTGTGAAGAAAAGATGAAGCCCGGAAGAGCATGATGTTCAGTGAGCCCATGGAAACATGCACAGTTGTTTTTGTTACTGTCATTGTTTTTTACATATGTGTCAGTTGCATGGAGGCTTTCAGCAGCAGGTAACCTCAAACAAGCAGTAGCTTCCACCTAATGTCTTTTTTATTACTTCAGTGTAGAAATAGGAAGTCCTCAGGATTGGATTGACAGCTCAAGGCTGCCTTCAAGCAATAGATCTCCTTTCATCTTTCCACCTTCCTTGCCTTCCTTAAGTGTTAGCCTTCTGCTTCAGACTGAGGGTGATCTGATCACAAGAAGGCTGCCACAGCTCCAGGCATCCTATCCTCACATGACCGGCATCCAAAGCAAAAGAGAGAGGGAGAGAGAGGTGAGTGCAGAGGGACTCTTCAGAAAGAGAGGGAGAGAGAGGTGAGTGCAGAGAGACTCTTCTCATGTCTCTTTCCTTTAAATCAAGAATGATTGCCCACCATAGAAAACCCTTTATATCACATAGACTGGGATTGAGTCACACAGATTACAAGGGGAATGGTTAGTAGTTTTAGCTGCTCTGGTAGGAGGAGGGCAAGCCAGAAGAGGGCTGGGCATGGTCATCAGGTTGGCATTCAACAGTGCTGGTTACATGTTCACGAAAATAAAGCACAGGCCATGCAATCAGTGCCACCCCTCAGTGGCCGGATACACTTATTTCCAGCAGTATTGTGGGTAATTTTATTTTATTCTGTTTCACAATATATTTTTACTGGTTTTCCAACCAAATCTACAATTACTTTTTTTTTTTAATGTCATGACTAGTTTCTAAGATCCAACTATAATTCTGGACTAACTCGGATGCCTGGGGGAAGGGGTTATTATTTAGACAATCCACATACACCTTTGGGTAGTTCTCAAAACTCCTCTATATAGTTTTGTTTTGTTGTTTGGTACCAGGGATTGAACCCAGAGGTGCATAAGCTGAGCCACATCCCCAGCCCTTGTTCATATTTTATTTAGAGACAGGGTCTTGCAGAGTTGCTTAGGGCCTCGTTAAGTTGCCGAGGCTGGCATTGAACTTGTGATCCTCCT